ACACACACACACACACACACACACACACACACACGGAACCTCAACCAGGTAGTAGACTGAGTGCCATGGCCCAGTGCCAGGGAGCTGATAGCCCACCCTAGATGGAAATTAATATTTCCCCCTAAAGTAGGATTGCACCACACGGAGCTTTACCATCTCCTCTTTCCTACCTATCGTATTCTGAATCCCTTCCCATTTCAATAAATACTGTCTCGCACCATTTTTTTCTTGTACTCACTGTAAGGATGGCCTACAATAAGTCTGTGATTTTTATGGACCTTTAGGTTGTTTCTGATAAACAACAGAATGACGGACATCCCTGCACAGAGCTTTCTCAACATCTCGGGTCCCTCCTTAGGATAAATTCCCATATGAGGGGTTGCTGGGTTGAAGGGCACGTGTGCTTTCAGGAGTCTTGATGTGTATCCACATACAGGCCTCTGTGGGCCACACACACAGCCCAGCCCGGGGGCCACGGCCGCTGTTTCCAGGGCTCCTGGGGACAGCTCCCGGCCCCCGCCCCCTAGATGGGGGAACACCTACCAGTTGGACAGGGCCTGCAGGGCCGCGTTCATGTAGCATGAGTTGCCCAGGTTCTTCATGCCCGTGAGGCCTGGGAAACCAGATGGAGGAGGGGAAGGTGAGCGTCCCGTCCCGGCGAGAAACTCACAGCTCACAGCTCGCTCTACCCCAGAAACCTGCCGACTCAGCTAACGTGGTTCCGGCTCAAAGCAGCTCCGCTCACCTCAGGGAAACTAACCAATGGGCCCCTTTGCCCGCTGCCCGGCCCAGCCCACTGTCCGTGTGCAGTGGGACGGCCGTCCAGGGGCACGCGGCTGAGATGGGGACGAGGACTGCCAGGCCTCAGCCAGGTGGCTGGCACTTCAGGGAAGCCCACAGGCCATTGGGACCCTTCCTGCCTGAGCAGAACAGTGCGTGGCGCTGTTACCTCGAGGTTTGAGGTCATCGTCCTCTGACTCAGACTCTCCTTCATCAGCCACAGCGATAGGAACGGCTTTCAGAGGGTGGGAGGGCGGTGGAGAGTCCTGTGCTCAAGAACCAGAGTGAGGAAACCAGGGCGGTGAGGAGGGAGAGGGGTGGGGGTCGAGGCTCATATGCCCCCGGGTTGGGGGGGCCCCCGAGCCTGCACTGAGTCAGCCCATCTGAGCAGAGGACACCATGAAAAGAGATGGCATTGGCAGCCATGCCCTGGGAACTCTGACTTTTATTTTACTTACAATAATGATCAGTAATAAATTAACTTATTTATAACAAATCTGGGAAAAAATAGAAACAAAGAAAATACAACTGGCAATCCAAAGTCCCCCAGCCAATCACTTTGATAGTCTATTTTATCTATGTAGCTTTTTTCCCCTCGCTTTTTCTTAAATTTTAATTTTTTATGCAGTTTTGAAAGGCTACTTTTCATTTACAGTTATTACAAATTATTGGCTGTATTCCTCGTGTTGGACAATCTATGCAGCTTTTTAACTGTTACTACACACCCCCCTGCAAAACAGGATATTGTATATATTATTTTATAGTTTTTGTACAGAATCATAAACATCTGCCATGTCTGCATACATATTCCATAAACACTTATCGAGTGCCCATCATGTGAAGGTCACGTCAATGTGGAGGAGAGACAGCACTGCACACACACAGACACACCCGGCCTCCCTGGAGCTCTGACGGCTGATAAACTGACCGCTCCCTGAGGCCAGGTAGTTTGTGTGGGGCTCACTGGCCTGCTTCCTCTAAGGGCTGCATGTTGCCCTGGTGGGTTTCCAGGTGTTTACCATGGAAAGGGCTGCAGTGATGGTCACCAGCAGCTCTCCATAGGCCGGGAAGGATGTGCACCTGCCCTGTGGCCTCGGGCTCACCCAAGGCCTGTGAGCTCCCTCAGGGCGGCCCTGCTCCCAGTCATCTCCGCGTCTGCAGCCCCTCACAGGGGTCCTGGTGCAGAGCTGGGGCTCAGCAAGCATCAGCTGACATGAGCCCCTCAAAGTCACCTGAAGAATGCTGAGCAGGAACAGACACTGCCTGGGACTGACTGCCGTGGTCCTCGACACATGTCACCACCAACTGACCCTGCTGCACCCCCTTACCTGCTCCGAGAACTTGGGTGGGGGGCCAGGGGGATGGGCCGCCAGCCGTTGCTCCAGGAACACCTCCTTCTCACAGGCGTAACACCACACCCGGAACGTGGTCAGGTTCACTGTCAGGTTGTGCTTTTTCACCTAGAGGGCAAGATCCTAAATAAGAAGGAGCCACTGGCCTAACAGGTGCCCAGGCCTGCATCAGGGCTGCCCTGACTCTCAGGCCTCGGTAAAAGGCCCCATCAGGATAGAGGCCTGGAAGCGCACAATCTGCTCCCCTCGAGCCGGGAGTGCCCAGGGCTGCCATTTATCAAACACAGACACGTGCCATGTGCTCGCAGCCGCATCATCTTACTTCTCTGCTATGATTATTCCCATTTTACATGCATAGACACTGAGGTCCAGAGTGGGTGGATGGAGCTAGGGGGTGGCTAGACTTGGGGTTTGAACTCTGGGCTGTCTGTCCGCAGAGCCCACGCTCCTGGCCCCCATGCTCACCTGCGCGTGAATGGTGCTGTGGTCAGCGTAGGATTCTCCGCAGCCAACGTAGGGGCAGGCGACCTGGGGGGAGGGAAGAAGAGTGGATTGGGGCTAGCCAAGAGGACAGTGCCAGCATGGTGAGTCAGTGTGCCCATCTTCCGGCAACAGGACCCACAAGGATTGAGGTCTTGCCACCCTGCAGGAACACAGACTTACACTCAAGGATTGCAATGGGCAGGGATGGCCACCAAGAATCTGCCCCTGCCTCTGAGCGAGACAGACACTGCGTCCTGGGCTGCTGCTCTCCTGCAAGAAGCCCAGGCAGGGTTGCAGCCAGATCTGGGCAAAGTCGAGTCCTGGTTGCTTGGTGCCAGATCCTCTCCCTCACCACCCATCCCTTTTTCACCAAAACCCCACTTCCTAATGGGATGCACACTTTTCCTCAGGGAGCTCGGATCTCACAGACATTTTCTAATGGGGACACCGAATGGGCAAAGGTGGCTGTGGACCGGTGCTGACCTCCATGCCCCACGGTGTCCCTGGGGCCTGCCTTTGGCCTTGCACTCTCCTATCCCAGATCTACCCACTCTCAAGTGCCTCTCCACTGCGGGCCTCCGCCTTGCGGTGCTTTGGTGTCATTTCCACCCGCAGTCAGCACTGTACAGGATGGTGAGGGCCTTTCAAGGAAATGACCTTTGGGCTGAGTCGCAAAGGATGTATCTGTCTCTCCAGAAGATCTGTGGGCTCCCAGGAGGGAAGACCACATCTCGCACCTCTGCTGTCCCCTGAGGCCCAGACAGTGTCTTGTGAGGTATTTTATACCGAGTGACAGGCCTAAAAGGATATAGCCAAAGTCCCGTGGGGGTTCCTATGTCTTCTGCAAAGACAGGCTTGAACTGTGATGTTTTTGCCACCATGGGCTGTCTTTTTTGTTTCTACTTGTATTTGTTTTAAAAGAAATTTTAAACAGTCATTTTTAGTATGATTACAAAATGCAATACATAGTTGCAGAAGAGTTGGAAAATGCTACAAAGTTAGAGATAAAAGAATTACCCATAATTCTACCATCCAGAGAAAACTGGCAGACTTTGCTACAACTACTGCTACTTTTTTTCAGTAAGCAATAATAATCAAAACACAACCGTATTTAACTGGACACTGCCTGCGGCCCCCATACCTGGTTAAGCCCAGTGCAGGCATCATCTTGTCAATTACTACCCTAAGGTGAGGTACCCACAAGGCGGGACAATCGTCAGTGTCATGGCTTCTACTTTAGAGACAGGGAAACAAAGGCCCAGGCTGGCCCAGGGACAGACTGCTACTAAGAAGTGCCAGGGCTGGGAGCCAAGACACCTATGTCAAATCGCTCACACGTGTGAGGATAGAACTTTGCCTTTAATGCCTATGGGATGGTTCAGTCCAGAGTCTCCTCCAACCTGCTTTTCCCTCTTGTCATTTTTAATGGCTGCCAGGGCAGCTGGCCCAGGGACTGGCGGACTCTGGAGCCCTCTTGGCTTGGGTTTGGGAACCACACCCAAGACATTCATGTCCTGTGTCCCCGCCCAAGGTTTCCGGCGGTGCCCAGGGGGACGGATATTCCCAGCCCAGAGTCTAGACGGGGCCTCACGCCCCCAACAACTGCAAGGATACTTTACCTGGAGGCAGGCCCACAGGTTCGGTCCAGCAACGCCACATGATTGACAGGTGCCCTGTGTGAGGCGAGGCAAGGAGGAAAGAGGGAAGAGTGAGCAGCCACGGGGTGTGCGCTGCAGACGCACCCTGAGGGTCTCAGCTGAGACACTTTGCCTCAGAAGGCCCTGGACAGCCCATACAGGCACTTAAACTTTACTGTTTGAATTTTGTTTTACTATGTACGTGTAAAAACATTTTCACTATGATCATTGAAAGCTTAAATAAACAGCCCCCTTAATATGATCTCTCTCCACACCTCTTTCTCTTTCTTCGTTGCACTTATTTATTTATGCCTTTCTCCCCATCGAGACTATGGGCTTCCTGGAACAGGGATGGTTTGTGTCTACCCCTGTGATTCACAGACTCTGGTACAAATTAGGAGACGAATGTATTTGTTGACCACAGGAAACGGCCAGGTTTCTGGCGGTCTGGATAACAGAACCTGCTTCTTATTTACCAGTATCTTTCCTCCTTCCTTTAATAAAAGGCTACATGAATTTTGGCTGAGCAGCCAGCTGCAGGCTATGTTTCCCAGCCCCCACTGAGATCATGGGGCTCGGTTCTAGTTAAGAGGATGACAGCAGTAAGTGACATGTGCCACTTCTGAGTTTTGCACTACCCTTGCTCTTTCTCCTCTTTCCATTGGCTGGAATGCAGAGGTGATGGCAGGAGCTGAAGCAATCACTTTGGTCTGAAGACAAAAGCCATGTGTTGAGAATGGCAGAGCTACCCTATCAGTGCTACCTACATCTAGACTGCTCAACGAGAGAAAAGGAAATTTTGATCTCACTGTATTTCAGGATTTCTTTGTTATATTTGAATTGGGTCCTAAGTAATTTTGTCTGTGCATGCATAGAACAGCAATTCCCAGCTGAGATTCTACAGGGTGCCTCTGCCAGTTGTGAGATGAATTCTCAGTGCTGGTCTCTGTAGCAGTTACAGAGTGTTTAATCAGGGTGAAAGCTGACCCCTGATGAGGGATCACAAGGGGCCAAGGACCCAGCTAACTTCTTTACCTGGTTCATGTAATCCCACCCACAGTCTGTGCAGCAGGTCCCATCAAAATCCCCTTTTTACAGAAGAGAAACTGAGGCTCAGAGAGGTCATGCCTTGCTGCAGAGCAGGGTCAGAAGGGGAAGCTGAGGAGCCTGGGTCATCAAACTTCCCACCAGCAAAGCCCAGTTTCCTCCCAAGGGTGGCCACATTGACCCCCAGGTCTCCACGGGAACGCCTCCTTCCCACTAAGCCCAGATTCTGGCTGAATCTGTAAAGAGCCTGAACCTGGAACTCTCGGCAGGACTGAGGTGAAGCAGCTCATCCCGTACAATGGGGCTGAGACTTGCAATCTACGATCCAGGGTTTCTTGCTGAGGATGCTAAGGGTGGCAGGAGGTCAGTCTGCTTAGTGGACTCAAAGTAGCAGCTCCTGACCCTTCTGAATTTGTAAACTCTTTTGTGATTTTCTGATTTCACAGTTCATTCCCACCTTCCGAAGTTTGTTTTTTTTTCATTTCAGTCATTTGAATGATAAAAGTATTGTATGTCGGTTTTAACAAGTTAAATGATACACATATGCCATATATAATGTGTAGTATATTATAGATAATATATAGATACTGTAATAATTCAAAGTATATCTCTTTACACTTTCCTCTTATATAAACATATATGCATAGATGGGGTTGTGTAATTTCTAGTAAAAATAAAATCATACTGTACATATTTCTCTGTAACAGGCTTTTGTCACTATTTAAGGTCATCTTTCTAAGTCTGTACACAGAGACTGCATCTCATTCTTTGCAGTAAGTGCACAGTGCCCCATGTTATGGGGACACAATTTATTCACTCACTCCCTTCTTGATAAATATTCAGACTGCCACCAGTATTTTCCTTTTATCAACAATGCTCAATAAATACTGCTGTATTTGTATCTTTATAACTGGTACTTACATTTCTACCAGATAAACCCCTAGAGATGGAATTGCACCCCTAAAATTATAGTAAGGCCTAACCCCACTGCAATGTGTGGTCCACTTCCCGCCCTCACTCCGCCCTGAATTAAGAACAGCCTGTGTTCCACCATCTGAAAGTGGAATCACCACCTTGCTCTCACAGGCAATGTCCTTGACCACCAGTGAAGTTAAGCACCTTTTCTCAAGAGTTTCTCCTCCACTGTGAGCTACCTGTTCAACCCATGCCCCTTGTGGGTATTTTAAAACAAGGTTGATTTCATTTTGTAGATTTCCAGTACTGAAGACACGCTCTCTGACATGCAGGCCTGAGACATCACCAGATGCTCTAGGTCTTTCTGCTCCAGAAGCACAAACACTTCCAAAAGGCTGCCACGTCCCAGCCCAATCTTCCCCATTCTGCATCCCCCTTCCCCACCTCCTTGATCTCCTTCCTGCCTGCTCTCAGATCCCCTGAGATGCCCTCTCCATTTGTCTCACTTGTTCCTTTCAGCAGACTCGGAGAGACACCCGGCATTAGACAGTGCAAATGCACCAGAGCCTTGCTCTGCCCCTCCTCCTGACCACACTGAAACCATGCCCCACGGGGTTACTAGAAATTGGTGACTAACAGAAATTCCTAAGCTTGTCTTATAGAACACTAGCTAGGGGAACAGCTTGTTATAAACCCCGTCTGCTTGAAGCCTGGCTTCCCTGAGCAAGCTGGCCTTAATTATTGTCTTTTCCAAATTGCACATCCTCCGAGCTTCATGCAGCCTATATAATACATCCTGAGATTCCTTAACAACCCCTACAGGTAATCCCTCTGACATACAGTTACTATAGTAACAGAGGCTCAAGCTGTCTTTCAGATACTTGGAGTCAGCTCTTGTCCAATTCAGGCTGGCTAAGACTGGTTGGGACCACCAACCCTAAAACTGTGCCCATGCAAGTGTCCGATGGATGACCTTTTGACGTCAGAAGGTCAAAAACTCCACTCCCAGATCATGCTAGGTGCCTCCATTTTTGAACACGCATTCCACAAAGCAGCATGAACCTCCCGATACACCTGCACAGAACAGTGATGACCTCACCTTTCTCCACGCCGAAGACCACCCTGCTTCCTCACCTCATAAACATCTCAAGCCCCTTGCCTTCAGGGAGGTGGATCTGAGACTTGTTCTCCTGTCTCCTCGCTTGGCTGCCTTGGGAACAAACCCTTTCTTTGCTGCAAACTTCGGTGTCTCGGGGTTTGGCTTGCTGTGTGTCGGGCAAATGAACCTGGTTTGGTAACATGCGAAACTACTTCAAAAGAAGCCATGGGTACTTTGAAGAACCACACCCTCACGCAGGCCCAGACGAAACCAGCTCAGGCCCAAAGGCCCCCAGAACCTGCTGGCGCAGGGAGGCTGACCGACCAGCATCAGATGTCTGGAAAGGAGACCTGCAAATGTGCTTAGGAATCTAATTCAAACCCCACTTTTGGGAATGGCCCCTACACGTGGCTCTGCCCCCGAACACAATGACACTGTATTGGCAGAAGGTCACAAAGAGTCCAGGTGTCCACCCACAGAGGGGCAGTTACAGAGTCCACACAATGAAAGCGATGCAACTTCAAGACTAACGATGAGAGCTGTGTGTCGATGCCAAAGAGCTCCGAGATACCCTGCCGTGTGAATGAGGCCCATGGTACAAAAGTGGCTATAGTGTGCTACCTTTTACATAATAAAGGGGAAAATGAAAAATAAGTACCCCCATAAAGAAACTCTGAAAAGATAGAAAAGAAACTCATCGAATGATCCTGGTTATCTGAGGGTGGGATGGAAAGGCTGCAAAGGGTCGGAGGGGAACTTGACATTTTCCTTCTTACACTGTTTCATTCTTGAGCCATGTGAAACTGTTACCTATCTTTAAAATTTTAATTTAACAAACAGAGACGACAACACACCCTCCCTATTCCAAGAGGTCCCCCTTCTCTCTCTCAGCCTCCCTGAGCCCTTCTCAGGTCACGTGTGCAAAATTTCCCTGGACTTTCAGAGTATGACTCATTCCCTGCCTCGGAGATGCTCTGGGCACCCACTCCAACCGCTAATGGACAGGGCATTAGTGCTCACAGATGGATGGGTCTAAATGGTAATTAATGGCTGCTAGGACACAGCCCCCAGAAGGCCTCCCAAACAGACGCCAGCTTCTCCATTTACACAAAAGGCTAAGCAGAGACTTGGAGCCAGTTCTGCTGCTTCAGAAATGTTTGCACCCCAGGAATGTGGTGGCCCTGGGTGTGGGCCTCAGCCCCGCCAGGTCTGATCCTTTACCTTGGATTTGAGCAGCAAGTCCTCTTTGGTCACCTCCCCTATTGAGTCAAGATGAGGGCAAATTTCCCTGGAGTCCCCCATGCTGGCCTGGGCTCACCTACAAGAAAACACAAGGAATCCTAGGTTAATGGCAAGGGAGGCTACGGGTTTAGTGGTCTCGGGCCCCAGCTGTCACATACCAGCTGGTAACCCAGGGGAGCCACTTAACTTCTCTGAGCTTTCCCCTCCTTGCCTGAGACTTGGGGATGGAGATAACACATACCAGGATGGGCTGCTCAGAGGACTCACGGAGATAATATGTGTCAAATGCCTGGCACGGGGCCGACTCAGGGAGAGCATGTGCTGGGCGATGATTAGAACTGTCCGTAGGGAAGACGCAAGGGTCCTGCCTACTTTCAGGGGGCAGCAGGACAGAGAATCTAAAACTGTGGTACTTTTATTGAAAGAGACCAGATCCATGACTGTGAGACCTCTCTACCCAAGGGGGCAGCAGAGGGGGCAGGGTGGAGGGGCTGGGTCTCAAAACCAAGTAGAAAGGCAAGAAGCAGATGCTGATCTTGGTCTTCCCTGAGCAAGCAAGAGTCCCTGAGAGGCCAAGTGCCCCCTAAGGCCACTAATGTCACTTCCTATGAGAAGGCCCACCTACAGAAGAGCCCTTAAACACCGCCGCACCAGAGGGGGCTGTCGGAGCAGCAGTCCCTCCAGAAAATGTCTTCTGAGGGCAAGAAAGTCACAGAGAAGAAAAGGCGAACCAGCCTAGAAAGAGGTCTGAAATATGTTCACTGAAGCATCAGCAGCGGTGTATCTGGGTGATAGATTTCAAAATAGCTTTGTTGGTTTTTTTTTTAATGATTCATGCTCATTATAAAAACAAAATTCAGAAAACAAAATATGGTTACCAAAGGGGAAAGGGCAGGGGAGGGAAAAATTAGGAGTTTGGGATTAACAGATACACACTACTATATACAAAATAGATAAACAACAAGGACCTGCTGTATGGCACAGGGAACTATATTCAATTTCTTGTAATAACATAATGGAAAAGAATCTGAAAAAAAATACATCTATGTATGTATATGCACAACTGAATTCCTTTGCTGTACACCTGAAACTAACATTGTAAATCAACAATGCTTCAATTAAGAAAACTAAAAAAAAAAAAAAAACTCAGATATTTAAAAAGTACAAAATGTAAAGTAAAATAAGTTGCTGATGACGTTGTGGCAAACATCCTTCCTGACACCCTTCTGCATAAAATTTCTCTTTTTTTAAAATCAGAAGGGAAAAAAGCTGTTTCTGTTTTGAAAAACAAATGGCTTCCCTTGAGGGAACTCCTTGGTGGTGGTGGGCAGCTCTGTATTTTGAGTATGGAGTTGGTTATGTGGCTCCGTACGTGTGTTAAGACTGCCCAGAACTGAATACACGCACACACATACTTCACACACAGAAACGGGTGCCTGTAAAACTGGTGAAATCTGAACAAGCTCTGTAGGTTGCACCAGTCACTTGACTGATTGTGATGCTATAGTCCAGATACACCAGGGATGGGTGACCGTGGTGGGGGGAGCGGGGGAGACACTGGGTGAAAGGTACATGGGACCTCCCAGCACATTTTTGGCAACTTACTGTGAATCCATAATTATTTCAAAAGAAAATGTTTAAAAACAAATAACTAAATAAATGCTTCAGCCACCCAATATTGTAGCAGAAATCATAACCAGGAACCTGGCTGCTGATTCCAGCTCCACCCTGGTATCAAGAAAGGTCCTAGCCAATCAAAGATGTAGGTAGAGCCACCAATGCTTTCATCAAAGGCAGAGGCTGTGCATCCACTGGGAGGAGGGGGACCCTCAGGCCCCTCCTGTAAGCCCCCTCCCCGCCCCAAAGGGTCAGCCAGGGGTCAGCTGGCCCGGACTCCCAGCCAGAACAGGAGTGCTAGTGCTGCTTGGGCTCCAGGTCCTGGACTAGGTGCATTCTTTCATTAAAAACCTGCCCAGCAATCCTCGGGGCAGCCGTGCTTTGCCCCATTTTACAGATGAGGAAACAAGGCTCCTTTTGGTCTCAAGTCTCCCAGACGGGAGGGCCAGAGCTAAAGTCAAAACCCAAGCAGGTCAGACTCTCAAAGCCCTGCTGACAGTCCCTCTCTTTGGAACTTTGGGAAAATGTAAACATACATAAAGGCAGACAGAAGTGTATCACACACCCCGGGTACCCATCACCTGGCATCACAATTAATTCATGGCCAATCTTGCTTCATCTCAACATCCCACTTTCTCTTTTTTGCAGCAAGTCCCAGATATCACATCATTTCATGAATGTATGTTTTTCTACAAGACTTGGAAAAAGAAAAAAAAAACAACCCAGGGAGGAGGGTGTAGCTCAGTGGTAGAGTGCATGCCTAGCATGCACAAGGTCCTGGGTTCAATCCCCAGCACCTCCATTAAGTAAGTAAATCTAATTACCTTCCCCCACCCCGCCCCCCAAAAAAACACAACAAAAAGGAAAAAAAATTTTTTTAATCAATAACCACAATTCCATTATTTCACCTAAAAAGAAAAATCCATACTTCTTCCCCAGTCTATGCTTAAGGGCTACACCTGAGTCAGGAGGCTGTGGGCCTACCTCTGTGTAAAGTGACAGCCCCAGGAAGCAGCCAACATCTGCATTCTCTGGAAACAGTCCACAGTGGTGGGTTGCAGAGCACTGGGGTGAGGGCTGGCCTCCAGCAGGGAACCTGGGGGGATAAACCAGCACACTTCATGTAGTTCCGTTATTTTAAAATCACTCTTAGCACTGACCAGAGGCTAAAAACAGCCCTGAATTTCTCCTTAGAGGGGAAAGTGAATTTTGGGACATTTGGGGGCACCCACAGGCTGGACACACTCCCCAATCCATCCACAGGGACAATGAAAACACACCACTGCTGGGACAGCTAAAGAAGGCTTGGGAAGAATTGGCAAACAGGGCCAGCCCCTCCTGGGGGTGCTGGACCCTTCACTAGTCACTGCGGGGCATTACCTTTGTGATCCCTGGGACAGGAGACCTTCAAGGGTCTGCAGGAGAGGGTCACAGGGCCTTGCCAACTACTGCTCCCTCTGGCCACAGCCTGTTAACCTTCCGGACAGCTCCTTCCACACATACCACTGGGACTCTCAGATCATCCTCTGAGCCTCCCAAGAACCTCATGCTGCTCAGAACCCAGCACCCCCAAGTCTACAGCAACCCTTGGCTATGGGTACAACCAGGTTCATACACATGTCGCCACTGCCCCCCATTCCTTGGTGGGCCACAGTCTCCCAGATGTGGGCAGTTCAAAGAGGCAGAGGCAGTTAGAAGCCAATATTTAAAATGGTCACATGACAATGACGGGGTTCAAGGTTATAAATTCCAAGCTTTCTCACTTGAAGCCCGATATGTGGTTTTCTTCGTTTCCACTGAGGCCAAGTGCACTGGGTTGGCGCCAGTCCCACACTATTTCAAGCTGCAGTCTGTGGGCTTTTTCAGTGTCTTTGGTATGTACCCCATCTCTCCAGGTAGCTGGCGGGGCCAGGTCATAAGCCTGATGCCCAGGACCACGAACAGTGCCCCAGACAAGGATGACAGACAGTGAGAGGCCTGCTCACGATTCATACATGCAGTCAGGCTACTTGAGTTCCTGCAACTTCGGACAGAAAGAAAACAGCCCTGTGGCTGCCACACCTCTTTGTACTCTCCCAGCCCCTGTTGCAAAGATGAAGAAAGAGAACTGGAGCAAAAGGAGCTAGGAACTTGGCCAACGTCAATCCTGGGCTTAGTAAGTAGTGGGTGGGGACCTGATCAGGTCTGTCCAGTGCAGAGCATTGCTCTACATCAGGGGTCAGTAAACTTCTTCTATAAAGGTCCAGGCAATAAATATTTTAAGCTTTGTGGGCCACATCAATCTTTAGCACATACTCTTCTTTGTTCTTGTTTTGTTTTACAATCCATCAAAAAAATTTATTTTTTTCTAAACTCTTAGCTCGAGGGCCCAACAAAACAATCCTGGCCTGCTGCCACAGTTAGCTGACCCCTGTTCTAAGTCACTGTGCACTATGCCTCACCGAATGCAGGCCTGATCACTGGCATTCCCCATCCCACTGCATGTAAATCACCACCAGTTTAAATAAGGCAAATAGCAAAGAATAGTCAAGAGGGTTAACTTGGCTCCAGATTTTCTCTATGTAAGTAATCAAGTGTGTGTGCAAAGACAGAACGACAGAGATATCCACTGTAGCACTGCCTGTAATAGGTGGAAACTGGACAGAATCTCAGGGAATGACAGGGAATTGGATGACTAATGACACAACCACATACTGTTGTACTACAAAGCTACTGAAAATGATGATGAATATTGATTCTTCCTATCCATGAAATTATATGAGACCTAAATAAATGCAGAGCTATACCATGTTCATGGACTAGCACATTTAATATTGTGAACTGTCCATTCTTCTCAAATTAATCTACAGATTCAGTGTACTCTCAAGCAAAATCCAAGCAGGCTTTTTCGTAGAAGCTGCCAAGCTGATTCTAAAATTTATAGGGAAAAGCAAAAGATCTAGAGTAGTCAAAATAATTTTTAAAAAGAACAAAGTTGGTACACTTATACCACCTGACTTAAGATTTTCTATAAAGCTACAGTTATCAATTCAGTGTGGCAATGGCTCATGGGAACAAAACAGAGGGTCTAGAATTAGACCCACACACATGTGGTCAACTGATTCCCAACAAAGGTACTGATATAATTCAATGGGCAAAAGATGGTCTTTTCAACAAATGGTACTGGACCCCTATATCCATACGGGGAAAAAATGAACTTTAACCCCCTACCACATATACACAAAAATTAATTAGAAATGGATCAGAGGCTTTATGTAACTGGTGGTCAACAGAGGTTTTAAAAGATGCTCCCTTTCTTCTCATTATTTTCCAAGGGTCTTGAAGAAGAGTTTGCTTATTCCAAAGCACGTTGTTGAGCTTCCCAGTTTGCTTTCTCATCTTCAGACTGAGGACTGTTTTCCTCTAATTCTTTGTGCGGTGATTTCAAATTCTTTTTCATTTGCTCATGGCATTGTTGGAGCTCAGCTTCAGAGTCCTTCAGCTTTTGAACTTCTTCTTTGGCCTTCATCTAAAACACGTGCTCCACCCCCACCTTCTTCATCTTAACTACACACTCCTTTCTTTCTTCTTCCTTTTATGCCTGAGGGTTCTTAGGAAGCTGCCCTCTGCTTTTGTTGTCAACTCCATTGTAAGTCACAGCTGCCAGTTTTCAGCTTCTGTAGTCCTCATAGGGCACGTTACCTGGAATATCAAGTCCTGCATGTGTGTTCTAATCAACATGTCTCCTAGAATTGTAAAATCCCAATGTTCGCTACGTTTAATTTCAGCAATACCCAACATCCATCTTTAGCACATACTCTTCTTTGGTTTGGTTTTGTTTTACAATCCACTAAAAAAAAAATTTTATTTTTAATTCTTAGCTCAAGGGCCCAACAAAACAGTCCTGGCCTTCTTCTGACCCTTTTGCCATTAACCTCGATGACAGCAAGAAGTAAACAGTCATTCATGTTTTTAACAAGCTTTTCTTTTTCATTGTCATCTGCTTCTGGAAATACATGTCTTTTAATTTTATATTCTTGGATTTCTTTCATTATCTGTTTTCTAAACTATTGGTACTCCTCCGGTGTGAGCACGTCTGCTTTGACAGTAAGTGGGGTAATACTCACGTCATGCAAACACTTCATAAACTAAATATCCAATGGTTTAAGCCCATGTCCTGAAGAGTAATGGAGTATAAAAAACACCTCATCTTTTTTTTGGTGGGGAGGGTAATTAGATTTATTTATTTATTTTTAAATGGAGGTACTGGGGATTGAACCCAGGACCTCATGCGTGCTAAGCACGTGCTCTACACTCACTCAGCTATACCCTCTTCCCAGCAACACTGCATCTCATTATCCAGCATCTGACGTCTGTTCACTTGAGATTCTGCACTTAGGTAGTCCTCAGATTTTATACCAATGGAGCCAATGACAGGCTGCAGCACGTCTCCAAATTCCAGGGCATCAGCTATTGTGAGCAGCAACTGAACACCATCTTCTCTGGTTAAAACTTTGGATTGTTCCACCTGTGCAGTCTTTTTTATTCTATGGAAGGACCTGGGTATTCTGGAGAAAACAAATCCGTGAGGAGTAATGAGTTGGTTAATGCAGAACCATGAGTGTGAATTCAAGCCCTCTCTTCACTGATTTTTGTATACTTGATTTGGGAGATTTGCAAACCTCACGTAGCCCTCAAGGTTCACCTGTTGAGTGACCACGGTTCTGCTGCTGACCCTCCTCTCCAACTGCGGCGGGGGCCCTTGCACTGACCCTCCCACTGACCCACATCCCCTCCGTGACCAGACCCAGCACAGCCTGCCAGTTCTCCGGATTACAGACTTAAAATAAACAAACCAAAAAACTAAAACACTAAAACTTCTAGAGGAGACCACAGGAGAGAATCTTTGCGATTTTGAAGTCAGCAAAGGTCCTTGGACACAAAAGGCGAAGGAAACACTGATAAGCTGCATTTTTCAAAATTAAAACTTCTTTTCCAAAGATGCTGTTAAGAAAGTGAAAAGGCAAGCTACGGAAGAAAATGAAAAGGCAAACTACAGACTGGGAGAAAATGTTCACAAAGCATGTGTCTGACAAATATCCAAAATACGTAATGAACTCTCACAGCCCCAAAAAGGATAAATGGTCCAATTTTGTTAAACAGACAAGTGACTGAACAGAACTTCACCAACTAAGAACGACCCACGAGCACATGAAAATACACTCAACATCATTTGCCATCAGAGAAACGCAAGTCAAAACCATGAGATAACATCTTACATACTCAAAGAATATCGAACGCTAATAAAACCTGTAATGCCAGGTGTTGCCGAACATGTGAAGGAATTCTCATCTATTCTGATAGGAGTGTAAAGCAGCATAAAAAACTTTGGAAAACAGTTTGGCGGTTTCCTTCAAAGTCAAGCATACACTTCTCACATGACCCTGCAATTCCTCTCTGTGATATTTTCCCAGGTAAAATGAAAGCATACATCTACACAAAGACTTGCACACAAGCATTCGTGATAGCTCAGTACGTAACACCCAAAAACTGGAAAGACCCTGTATGTCCAACAAACAGGGGACTGAGGCGAATTACTGGTATATTCACATCATGGACTAATACACGGCAGTAGAGAGAACTGATACAGCTACATGAACACATTCTAGAAATGTTAAACGGAGCAAAAGAAGTCAGAAACAAAGACGTGCATACTATATGATTCTATTTTTATGAAATTTCAAAACAGACAAAACTAATCTGCAGTGATAGAAATTGGATCAGTGGTTTCCTGGGGCCACAGGTAGAGCTTCACTGCAAAGAGGTGAGAGAGAACTTCCTGTGGTCTTTGGAAGTTCTAGCTCTTGATGGGGGGTGGGATTTAACAAGGTCTCTACACCTGTCAGATCTCAAGAACTATATCTTTAAAGCACATGAATATTATTGTATGTAAATTACACCTCATAAGTTGATTAAAAGCACTTTAAATCACAACTAACTTACAGTGACAGACACAGCTCAATAGTTGTTTGGGGCCAAAACGGGGAGGCAGAGAGGCAATATCTGACAAAAGGGTGCATTTTATTAGATATAAAGTATACCTCAATAAACCTGATT